CCTTCCTTCCTTCCTTCCTTCCTTCCTTCCTTCCTTCCTTTTTTTTTTAATGAGCCATTTGCTGACTTTCCCCCAGCAACACTTTGATTTCAGTCACAATCAGGGATATAAACACAGGCATTACGTGCCAGCAGCCATGGTGGAAGGTGATGAAAAGGGTCTGTGCACTTCAGGATGGACTGGTTAAAGGGCAGCATTAAAGGTGGGACAGATGTTGTCCCCACTACACAAAGAAAAGCTGTAATGAAACTGAAGTGCTGTGGTTGCTGTATATTTCAAAAGGAAACTTATGCTTTGTGTGCCAAAACTGCTGGGAGCTTTAAGGGGACGAAGGGAGGATAAAGAAATCACCGTGTGCTCTCGAGTTCCCTTCATTACTCCATTTCAGGTTGGATACTAGGCAAAATTTCCTCTCTGAATGAATGGTGGTGCATTGGCACAGGCTGCACAGGGAGTGGTGGAGTCCCCATCCCCGGGGTTTTCCAGACCCACAGAGGTTTGGCACTGAGGGGCAAGTTCAGTGGGCATGGTGTTGAGTTGGGGTTGGGCTTAGGGATCTTAGAGGTCTTTTCCAGCCTTATAATGAGTCTATGACTACTGCTCTACTGACTTCTGCCAAGAGAGCAATTGCTGAAATCCCCGTGTAGGTCCTCACCTGGAGGTCCTCACCAGTGGAGCAGAAATGCTTCTGCCATGAGCGCGCAGCAAGAAAGCATCCTGCATTGTACAAACTGAGGGTTAGGAGAGCAGCCTCCTTGAAAGCCTTCATGTGTTTTCATGTGAATTCCGGGCTCCTGGGCTCAGGAAAGTGTCAAACTTGCATTGGATATTGGAGCTCCATCAGCTCTGCCTGTGATGTGCTGCTGTGGCTGATGTCCATGCACAGTCCCCATCCAGCCCACCAACCCTAAGCATCTTTGTATGTAGGAAAGATTTTCAGATCACCTCCAAGGAGCGCTGTCTGTTTTTAGCACTCACCAACACTCTCAGCTGCAAAGAACTGAAACCTCTGGTGGTGAATGCAGCACGGGGCTGCTGGCAGCTGCTCAAAGGCTCTCACTGGAGCATGGCACAAAGGAAGTGGCTTTTCCCTGGGTCCTCACATAGCAGGAAGAGTCCAAAGTGCCACAGCAGGATGCCACCAGTCTGGGAACGCTGCGGTGGTCAGGGATGGTGCAAAGGCTGTGGGGCGCAGTGGGATTTGCTCACCCACATCTTACAAATGCAAAACCTGTTTTGCATGAGCAGGCGTTGATTAAGGATTTGCGAACAACTGCCTTCCTTAACGCTTCCTTAAGCAAGTTCTGGATCAAACTGAAAATCACCATTGTTCTCACTCCATGTTTGCATCCTCGTGTGTTCCTCCTGCTTTTCCTTGGGGCTCTTAAGGCCATGGCATCCCTCCAATGCTGATAGCTTCAGACTGAGTGTGGGCTCAGATTCACGCTGCCATTCCGCAGAGCTGTCAGGGATGGAGAAACACTGAGTGAGCACTGAGAAAGGCTTCAGGGCAACAGAGACAAAACAGCTTTGGAAATGCTGGAAGAGATCAAATCCTGTCCTTTGGTGAATACTAAAACCACGGTGTGAAGGAAAGCTCTTGCTTCTGACTGGGATTTGTGATTTGAGCCCTTTGGGAAACAGCCTGCTTGCACCCTCTGATCCACGCTGCACCCTGGGAGCAGCCGTCAGCTGCCTGGGAGCCACCCCAAGCTTGGCTCCTGCAGTGCTGCACACTAACCTGGGAAATCCTTTGCTGTGCCCATCCCCATCGCCTGAAGCACTTTGCATTTTGCTGCTCCTCACTGCACCCTATGCTGCACCCTATGCTGGGGACACCTTCTGTCTGTCCCCTGGATTGGCCAAAGCTCAGCAAAGCTACAAGAGTGGGTGGGAGGGAGCAGAGGCAGATCTGTGGGCCGGGAGCCGGAGCTGCCTGCAGGAATGAACTGGAGTTGGTGGGAGGAGGAGGAGAAATCTGGGTGTCAGCAAACAAACGAGGAGGACTGGGAGCTGAGATGTGCTCATGGTTGCACTTGGGATGTGATCAGTGTTTCCTTGTGACTTATGCAATCTGCTGGGGCCTGAGTGGTAAGGAAAAACAAAATTAAAACCAGTGGGAATGGAGCTGCTGCCTCCCCTCGTGCCGCAGGGAGCTGCCAAGGAGGGAGGAGCCTTTCTCCCTGGATCCCTGCAGGCAAACCCAGGAGGGTTTGCTCCCCAGATTTTATAGGCAGAGCTGTGTCTGCAGCACCTGCTCATGCTGGGCATGCTGCAGGAAGGGCAACAGGATGAGCAGGGCATCAGGGCACTGTCAGGCACATAGGCACATCCCTCCCCGGCGATCTCTGAGTGCCACTGGTACATCTGCCTGGAGAAGGAGAGGCTCAGTCCAACTGAGCCACAAAATTGCTTTCACGCTGCTGTTTCCAGGCTCGGAGGTGTGCGGTCAGCCTTGCTGCAGGCTGAGAATTTT